AGCGGGTTGCGTCAAGAGTGCAGAGATCCGCGAGTTTTGGCAGTAGTAGGTGGGGCGGAAAGGACTTTAGCCGCGGTCCCGAATCTTGCTGAACCCCATCGGTAGTTGGGGGTTCCGTCAAACATGCAGAGATCGGTGGTTCCGGCACGAGACGGCAAGATGCTTCTTCCTGCTGCGGCGTGTTCGTGGCAGTTGCACAAAATCAATGTGCCCGCGTGCCTCATGTAAGCCGAGATCATTGTAAATTACAATGCATGGCCCTCATTGTTGGGAAACCCTGCATGCAATCGAGGCGCAGTATGTGGGGAAATCGAATAAATTTCGGGTGTGCTTCTAAATACCACCAGTCTTTGGTTCTTTGGGAAGCAGAAAAGCAGAAGAGCAGAGAAGCAGAAAAGCAAAAGCAGAAGCAAAGACACGGAGAAAACGATAAGCAAACACCGGCAGAAGGCCGAGACGCGGAAAAGCAGAAGCGCGGAAGCAGACAATGACAGCTCGTGCTCGGAAGTGAGGAAGCGCAGGAGCACAAAAGCGGACGAGACCCCCCCAAGCAAAAAAAACACAGGTGCAACAAATAAACTCACACAAAACATGACCCTCCATAAACAATTAACAGACATGACTTGCGACTTCGAATCTCGAACACAATTTGTAACATGACCTGCTGGTATATTCAGAGAGGAGGCGCACGTATGTACACACACGCACACGCGAGAAACAACGAGCCTGACACACACACACACACACACGCACCAAAAAGAAACTCTTACTGACTCTAAGGTGCACACCCCTCGCAGCAAGGTCACATATGTCTTCTCGTCTGGTAGCTGCCCAGCCTGACACGTGGATTCGCATGAAATCTCACTCTGCCGGGCAGGTCCATGCCTGAAGCATCCGATCTAGGAGACCCATCGCCAGGTCCATCCTCCCATTCCTCCATTTGGGTCAACTGCGACGACTACACTGGAAATTGTATGCAAAACAGAGACAAGGAGCAGCAGTCTCTTTCCACTAACAGCACCCTCACATCTTCCGGTAGTACCGGCAAACAAAACTTGTTCAGAATGGCTTCTGTGTACACATGGTTCCACTGAAGCACAAGTGGAAAATCTTTTTTGACCAAGTCTCCATGTGCACGAGGACATCAGTGTGGTGTACACCTGCCCCGAACATGGCCCAGCGCAGCTGTCGTGACCTTCTGCGCACGCCTTGCCTACTTTCAACAAGTTGACACAGCAGAACTCATGCCAGTGTTGCGGCAGTGTTGGGCTGGAACCCAAACTTTTGCGGCATTTCATCCAGCACCTGACGAGCACTCGAACAGAGGCCGACTCGCGTTGTGTCAGAAGGCACTGGTCAGCAGTGTTTGCTGCCTTGAATGCTGCATCCAAGTCTGAGATTCGGCCGTAGAGCTTGATCAGGATGGAAGCCTTGCATGTTGGAGAAGAGTTGCTGCAGAATGACAACCACTGGAGCTGCATCATTGTTGAAGGCATGCCCACTCAGAAATGTCTACACATGTGTGTCAACACGATAGACACGGTTGGCCACTCTGAGGCACTGGCAGAATAATTGCTGGGCTGAACACCAGCCGAAACCATGTCCTCAATCACCTGTCTTATGTCTTATGACGAGGATGCACCTGATCACAATCCATTGGGAAGCAACCCCTTTATGTGCTTCTGCACCATTGCAGTCATTAGCAACCCAACTCTGGCAAGTCACGTAGGGCGGCTAGCCATGTCGCAAGACAGTATTGAAGCTGCACTGAAGAGAACTTTCGTGCCTGTGTCTGGGTTTGTGCCTGAATTGCCCCGTGAGGCCTGCTCACAAAGCATGGGCATCTCTTTCCGGGCACATCCATCCAACAAGCTGTTGAACACGATGGCATCGGGTTTGATGCCTGCAGGCAGGATGCACAAATAGCGGGACCCTGTCAGCCATGATGACTGTGCAACAGTGATATTTTGTGAAAGCGATACGTGGCCCGGGCTCCAAGCCCTGACATGAGGATTTGGCTTTCTGCATGGGTTCTCTATGGTTATCTTGTCTAGTACTTCCGGCTCAGCCGGATTGATTTGTTGTTCCGCCTCCTACCTAGCCACCTCTACCTAGCCACCCCCATTGTGAACATCTATCACTTTCGCCGACCTTTCGCGAAGTGACCGAGCAATACAAAGCTATATCAAGCACAAAGCAAACGACGCCAAATCCTGTGCTCCAAAAGAAACATACAGAAAGCTGGCGCCTCGGCGGCGCATGGCGCCGAAGAGCTCAAGTGCATGATCCAAGTCGCCGGTGACGCAGTAGCCTTGGAAGCATCAACCGGCCTGTGCTTGCCTGTGCGCCGCTACACTCAACTTGCTGAGTGCGGGTCCCTTAATCAACGTGCTGTAGGTGATGAGGTCTGGGGAAAGGTCGAAGGTAGCCTGGTGAGTCTTGTCGGACAGTGTGTGACTCGTTGAACTCTTGCCTTGGGCTCAAGCCATATCTTGAAGCAGCTCAGCTGCTCGGGTCATGTCCCCTGCTCTGCAGCAGGCATCCACCAAGGTGTTGAGGACCACGAGGCCCACCGGAACTCCCTGGGCCTGAAGCACAGAACGGTTTACATCTTCATGCATCGCCGCTCGCTGCCTTCATCTCTTCATAGCACTCCAAAGCTCTCACAGCATCCTGCAAAGGAAAAGGCATGGCACAAGTCGTACTGGCTAAGGCTGCGCAACACTGCGCACGCCGTCCTTTTGCTGGGCGTATCCACGCACGATCATGGCATAGGCAATGGCAAAGGCATTCGATCCGAACCTGACTCCAAGGTTGAGTGAACACTGTGCTCCCGTGCAGTGTGCAGAATGTGGGCAGCTGGATTTAGGCTTTGTGTCTCACTCTCGTTCTACGCTCGCTGCAAGCTGAATGGCCCTTCAGGCGCATCACAGCAGAATCGCATGGTAGCCTACTACACACGGCGAAGGTAGTGTGATGGAAGTACAAGCGCATAGTGGCCCGAAGCCTAGTCGAACATCTTGAGGAGCCCCTCATTGCGTTTTCTCCCATGCAGATCGGAGATTTCGTGCTTGCTGGGTTGGTGACGGACCGATTCGCCCAGCCTTAAATAAATACCGATACACATGCAATGGAAAAGTCCGACTCGCGTAGTACTTCTGGGGCCCGAACCGCCGCCTGCACTCCGCTTCCCTATGCTAAACCGCATCGGCATTTGGCTACCAGCTGACGGGTGGGCAGTTTCAATGACTTCAGTGACACCGTGTTCCTCTCGGCCCTTCCCGTGGCTTGACTGCCACTCCCCCAACCATGGCCTACTCGCCACTTCTCCTCAGTACCCACTATGCCCGCGAAGGACACAGGTGGTGTTGTGAATCACAACCTATGGCAAGCAACTCCATGTCAACTCGTACTGACTCGTACTGCCTCCATCGTTGTCTGTGTTGGTGGCTTGCATGTGATGGGACGCGGGTTCGTTTCGGAACGTCGATTTTACTTCAGTCCTTGGGCCTGGAACCCTACTCTTAACAACCCTGCCTTCAAGGTTACAGCAGGTAACTGCTGCACTGGTGCTTCCAGTTTGCACGGACCCTCCGCAAGGGGCTGGCAAGCTGCAAGTTCAATGCTTTTGTTTCTTGGACGTTGTGGCTCTTCCAAAACGACGCTACCGCTGGGGGGAATTGCATAAACTCCAAACAAGAACGCCCGTTCTCTCTGCACTAGCCAAAGAATCGAATGTGTAAAACCATGCTTACAACCTAGGTCTTGTATACAGCTCCACCTCCAAGCCTGAGGTAACGTGGGCACGAAGGCTTGTCACACGAATGCACGAGCGTGATTCTACAAGTAGCTTGTATGTCTCCTGTCCTGCAGCACTGTGTGAGAACACTGGCGACTAGCGTCGACATCTGTGCACCACAGGTATGGGGTAGTTGGAACTAGCAGCACAGCAGCAAACATGCAGACAGGGACTGAAGCAGTGCATGCAGCCGGGAAGAAGCGTTTACGGGGACTCGCCTCGCCCGATGGATGTCTCGCATCTCTGCAAAAAGCTGAAGAGCATGCTTCAGGTTGCCACCTGGCCAAATCTTTTAGCGCATCCATCTCTCTCGGAGGCTACAGGCCGGTAAAGCGGCGATAACCCAGTGCCAGAAAGGCCCATGACCAGGACGTCGATCATTTGCGCATATACATGTTCGCTTGGCTCAAGTCCCTGGCGTCAACAGGCAAGGTAATTTGATATTGTAGCCCTGGCCCTGGCTATCCCTGGCTTTCAACTTGGCCTGCACTTTGGTGATGTCGTCCCACAAGTCACATGCCTTCACTGTCTGGCCGGCTGACCCGTAGGCCTGGAACGCTCTAGATTGTGAAATCATCGGTCCAAGCAAACACTGTTCGGCTGCGATGGTCCTTGATGAGAGCCGCATAGGTGGGATTGCCACAGCGCTTGGGCAGGTCCCAGCCATTCCTGGTTGCAATAGAGCTTCATCCAGGGTGTCAATCTCTGCAGTCCTTCTCAAGCAACCACCCCAGAAATGCATCACTCTCCCGAGCAGCTGCCTTTTCAACATCGCCAGCACGCGCTGAAGTCGCCTGGTATCTCGAAGAGCCACACAGGCCTGGCAAGCAAACCGCAATCATTTGCGCTTGTGACTTTATGTACCACTCCCCACAGCTCATGTACTTTGGGCGTCTCCCACCAACCCCTTAAGTGCACTGTTCGTTGCTGTGCGTTGCTCGGGGGGTTCTGCTGGAATGTCCCACGGATAACAAATGTACCGGGACTCCTGCTCGGCCCAGAGGAAGAGCTTCGACCCACAAATCGATGCAACTAACAGCCCCCTCCAAGTACAGCAATATGTGCTACCACATGTTCAGGTGGCTCTGCTCCATATATCACCTTTGCTAGCCCCTTCTGCTCATCCTTCGTTAACGACAACAGCTGCGCGGCCTCCAAGACGACATTCACGAGAACCTCGTCCAGCTTGACGGCATGCCTCGCATGTCGACTCACCGACCCAAACCATCCCAAGCCTCTTGAGCCTTTATTGGGGCCCTCTTGCACCTCGACATCAGGTCGAGAGCGCGGTCGAACTCCGCGGGTGCCAAAGCGCGCTGGCCTTTGGATCCCTGCAAGAACGGACACTACGTTTCAGGCCCTGCAGGGGTTGTCCGGCATAGGGTTCAGGGACATTTCAGGGTTGGTGTTGGGAAGTAACTGCCCTGGCAGGGAAGAAAACACCGCATCAACATAACTACAGAAGCGAGAGAGGCTTTTCCAGCTGGTGCACGCATGCTCTCGCTATCTTTGGCTTCCTTATGCTTCCCGTAGCTCTGTGGCTTGTCGTGGCAGCCTTGAGGATGATGCTCACGGTGTAGGCGTCGAGAGGTGGGCCGCTTCCTGTGGCACATGCCGCCGCAAGGGCAACAGCGCCCGATCGCCTTGCCGGCTTCCAACATCCGAGGCTGCAGCTCTCCATTCCGTCGATCGTGCGCCAGGCCACGTCCTGGATTGGACATCGTTCCACCGTTTTCGCTTCCCTCCTCAGGCGCCGGCCACGTCTCCGTGCGCAAGTGCTCCACCTCATCAGGAGGGGGATGCTGTGCATGGTGTGCCACAGTGCGCCATGCTCAAATCTCCCCGTTGTGGGTGTTTGCATCAGATGTGAGGCGTGCGCTGATGATCGAGTTGTACGTCGCGGTCGTTGGTCGCAAACCGGACTGAACCATTTCCTGACCCATTGACCCCATCTACAAACGGTTGAATGCCTCATTGCCCTAGCTCCGTTCCATCGACCGGAATACTCCAGCAAAGCGCCAAAGCCTCAAGAAGGGCACGCGCCAGCTGCACGGAATCACCTGGACTGCAATGGACAGCTGGCAGCATGTAAAACAAGGCAGACCGACTCAACCAAGCACAGGCCTTTTTGGCCCATGTAAAGCTTTAGCATGATGTTGTATGAGACAACATCAGCACCTCATGGCAAAGATAAGCGGACTAGCTTCATGTTGCATAAGAGCTGGCAAAACTAAGCTCTGCGCTTCCGTTCGCCTTCATGTTTTTGAAGATTCTCTCTGCCTTGCCGACAGCTCCACTCGTGGCCGTGACATGCCCTCAAGACACATACTAAGAACAAGAGATGCGGATGCAAAATTCGGGAAACGCTGGGCGAAGTTTGGACACCGGAACTCGAAGAAGGTAATTCGAGAAACGAGTCGCGATACGCAGGAAAGCCGGACTCGCTGACTGCCAGAAGCTTCAAGCCCCCAAGCTCTATAAATCCTAAACCTTCGACCTATGAGTCTATGATGATACCCTGCACTGTAAACTTTTGAAGCCAAACACCAAACCAGTGAATCCCCATCCCTGAACCCTGAGCGACAGAACGAGTGTCTCGACAACTTTCGGAGCAGCGAGCTGATCGGCTTCGACAGGTCACATCATCTCATACATCCATGCATCCATCCATTATCCATTCACCTGACCTGCGCATCCATCTATGCAAGCAACACTAAAAATCACCCTTCCGTTGAACTCCAAACCCAACAAGACCTCTCAAGTAACCCTTCTCACACATCTCCTATATTAAGCTTCTCATATAAAGCCTTCTCAATGTATAAACTTTTTTATGACNNCCCCCCCCCCCCCCCCCATAACCCAGAATGCCCCCCCCCCATCTAGAGGCGAATTCAGAGACATGACCTAAATGCTTCCTCCCATGCGCTGGCGGGTTTAACACGTTTCCAAGCTAAGCCCAACAGAAGGGGAGTGGCAAAACATGGTTGTCATTTGGAGCTTATGAAGAGTGCTTAATGGAGCAAGGTTCCAACGACAGGTAGTGACAAACCACTTGCGATCTCACTCTTGCAGCTGTCCCTGGAATCTATTCGAACTCGATTTAGGCTGCGTGCCACGTTGACTCGATTAAGTTCAGGCGCGTCGTCCGCACAATCCTCTGCCACAGCTGCATCCAAGTCGGCGTTGCTCGGAGCAACCTTACCATCAAGCTGGCTATGCAAACTGCCGAGGCTTTAATCTCATAGCCCAAGTCATAATTCTGGCCTGAAGTGGTGTTTCGGGTCGCACTGCCAATGAAGCTTCTGACCTTTGTCGAAAAGCTCGTGGAGAAAACTGGCCGGCAACAATTGCACAGATGCTTGGATACCAACACTTGCTTGGATAAGTTGGCCTGCTGCGTCCGAACATTTCTCTAGATGCAGAATGTCATGCAAAGCTCAAGCGCTTGGAGTTCACAAGGAATGAGAGCGAGACGCGGGTGCTGTCTGCATGAGTGATGTTCTCATTCCTGCCTCGAGGGCAGACTCACTCCCGGCAGCCGTCGAGCCTTCCAGGATCAGCAGTTGCAAGGTTTCGTGCTGTGATCGCATCATACCGCATCGCTTCATTGCGGTAAATGACAGCAAACGACCTCTGGGTGACGCAAGGTCGTTGTCCTCCGTGTCCGCTGCCTGAGGACATGCTTTCAAAGAGCTACCGCAACCGCACAGGAGATCACGGGTGCATGGTCTCAAGATTTCAATCAGAAGCGGATGTGATGGCTTCCACGGCCGATTGTGGCTGTGGCGGTCTTTTTTAGTCTTGAGTACGTGGCCCAGTCCTCGTTGGCTGCGCTCCTTAGAGGAACGGCGCATACATGCGATGCATGAACTGCCAAACACAGGTCTCTAGCAAGCTTCCGAACCAAAACGAAGCAACACACCCGACTTATGCTCCTGTTGGAGCACGAGTTGAGATTTGGGCATTGACATGGCTTTTGCAGCTGCCAGTGCCAGCGACGACCTGCCAGATGACCTGAAACCACAAGCAATCCCGATGAGAAAGGGCCAATGGCCGCGGCTACCTGCTATGTACGCTGTTCACCACGTTTTGCTTTACACTGACTCTGCGCACCTTTGACACCACGTCTGTTAGAAAGATGTAGACTTGCCGAGAGCTGCGACTACGAAACAAGGCTTAAGACCACGCTCTCACTTCACGGTGTTGATGTGCTATGTGACTCCTTCCACCTAGCTGCACCTAGCTGTCGAGTGCCGACACGATATCCTCCTCGTGTGTCACCATGCTTTGATGGGTGCATTCGGCTGGGTTTCTTGAGTTTATGCCCGGCAACTCCTGCAGCAAGTGTTGTTGTGCTTGGCTTTTCTTCGAGTGATCCTTCTGCCCTCACCCCCTCTGTGTCCACTTGTTCAAAGGTTGCTCTCAGTCTTCTTGCTGTTGCTAACCTGGATTGACCCGACTGACAGTTGTACTGGCTGCTTCTGAAACATCAATGTGAGATCGCTTCACATCTTTGCATCTCGTTTTGCAGCATCGTGAGCTTCCAAACGAACCTAAACCCTAAATCCCAAGCCACCAAGAAGTTTTAGTCTCCAAGGACACAACGCACAGCAACTCCTGGGTTCATGCAGTTCGTGTGCATGCACATAACCATCCCCACTCTCTCTCCGTAGCACTTGCTGCAACCGCTCTGTGGCTGTAGCTTTGCCCAAACGCGCATGGACCTTGAACGCAGCGGCGAGATCACGAAACGCAACGAGACTGCCCGGAGATGCAGTTTGCATGTGATCATGTCCCCAATGCACGATGCCCGTGCATCACGGCGAGCTTCCATGTGACCCTGTCCCAAGACTTTCGGCTAAGATCTCAACTCCAGCAATGCAGGAGATTCTGCAATAACTGCCGACAGCCTGGCAATGCCATGCCGAGCCGTTCAGGTTGCAGTTGCGAGTAAAGTTGGGCAGCTTGACAAAGCATGTAACAGTCCATCCGGTAGATCAGGGTGACATTCGACCTTATGTCCGCATATGTCCGCTGATTGTACGGAAGAGAGCGGCGGCCGAAGAACAAAAAGGGCGCAACCATTCGCACGAACAGCTCCTGGAGCTCCCCGTCAGGATTGCCGAAGGCCAGACCAGCCTTGGAACAGCCGCAACAGGTGCTCTGGCTCCCATGGATATTGCGCAGCTTATCAAGACTCTTGGATTGTGGCTGCAGGCCCTGAGCACAATGCAATGCTCGCGCAGGAACAATGCTAGGCATCCGGGCTCGGATTAATGCTTCAAACGATGCCAGCGACAGGGCACCTGACAGCAGAGGGGTTCGGAGCAAAAACGTTTCGGTATCAAGAAGTATGTAATTTAGCCGGCCCGGGATCAAAAACAACTCAAACAAAATCAAGCAAAACATCTGCTGCCTGGCTTGTTTAGCGGAAAGCTATTAGCGGACAGGTGTCGTACGAAAAGCTCTTGTCGAATTCTGATTCCCATGGTCCTGTTTCAGATGACATCGCCAGTACGGCACCGGAATGTTTGATTTGGTGTTTTTCCTGGTCTCGGTGCTAATATTCAGACAAGCAAGAATAGCAATAGTAATAATCGTACGGCTAATACTGATACTGACAGTAATTAATCATCATTACAATGATAACCATGACTATGAGAACACGAAGAATAAAAATGATGATAATCAAATTGTCCCAATTAATCGTACTAGTAACGAGTAATATTCAGGACACGGAAAATGCGAATAATAAGAACTGGGGGACTCAGAATGATCGGCACAGTACGGGCAACTGCAAGAATCATGCTACGAACAATAATGATAACAGCAAAGATAAACATAATGGAGCCTGAAACAGTGGGTTGCAAAAGGCCCCGAAGATGCACGCACGTGCACCAAACGAACGACCAACTGACACGGAAGCCTACACACAACCACTCGAAACATACTGAAACGATCCTTTAGCATCCGCGCACTTGAGCCAAAATGTAACCGCACTGTGAAACGTATGTACACTGACCCATATACCAAACTACACCCCAAATCCAGTCATGCCTCCCGAGCGGGATTAAGCGTTCTTGATTCCTGCGAGTTCTTTTGGGGTGATTCCCCGGGGTGATCCTCTTTCCTTCGCCTTCACGCAGCTCCAAGGGCCAGGGGATGCTTGCTTGACCTTCCGGTATAGCCCATTCGGCCAAGTAGCTTGCTTGCTGTTGGTCCATTCAACGGCTAACATATCCTGGCTGTTCACCTTCTTCAAGCGCACCGGTCCCTTTTCTACTAGTTCTTGCGCCCACAGGTAGTATGTGTCGATATGCTTCACCTTTCCCAGCCCCCGGCCGAAAGGCGATTGAGATTCCAGCGACTGAAAGCTTCACTCCCCAATCTGCTAGCTGTGGAGATGAGGGCATAGTACTCTGCTTCCCCTGTAGACAGGGCTTAAGATATTTGATTGTGGTATTTGGCAAAATCTGGCTTCAAGCTTTGGGGTAGGAATTGGGGTGTATGGCGGTTTCCAGTTCGCGGCATGAGAGTTGCAGTTTGTGTTGTGCAGAATCTAGTTTGAGGCCTGACGACGGAAAGCGACGGATGAGCGTGGCACAGTCTGAAGCCAAGCATGGCTTGTAAGTGTGCGGGCTTTGGCAGGAAGTGTAGCAGTGTCTTCAGCTCTCACAATTCGCCTCAACCAGCTTCTACAATATATAGAGCATCGTATTACTATCGTCCTTGCCAGCCTGTGTAGAAGCCTGGCATGTCTGAGAGTGAGCGCCGATATACCAAGGTGGCCTCTACTTCATTGGTAATGCCGGCTGCCGCAGAGCGCTTCGATGAAGGAAGCTACGACCAATACTCTTCGCCTGATTGTGCCTCAAGTGAAGCAGACGGGGGACGGATATGCCATGTTCTGAATTTTGAACTCTTCTTCCGATCTTTTGCTAAGCGTAGATGTGTCCCTCTTATGGCGCAGGCCGTGCTTGGCCACACACACACCCCCCTCCCCCCCTCAGCTCGAACTGAAACACAGCTTGTCCTCTAGCTGCGGCTTTGATGGTAGCGTTCCCAAGTTGAACAACTGTTCCAAAAGTGCTCTTCCGTGTTCTTATGCATCCAGCATGGTCGCTGTCAGACCAGGCACTAATGGAAACAAACTGTTCCTGATTGGGAATCAGCTGCACTAGCCTTGGCAGCCCTTTCGAACACCTTGCGGCTCTCTTCACTTGTCCAGTCCAAGTTGCTCGAGAACTAGGCCGACACGCCTCGGATCAGCCTCCAACTCGCTACCATCTTTGGTCCACGTGACCAATCGATGAAGAACCGACATAGACTGAGTCACTCCTGGTAGTTCCGAACCGGGCCTGGCCGGGATACCTCTGGTCTCGACTGTCCAAACCTGTTTCAGTTCTCGTTCTAACCATTACCACTTCAGTTCCTCGTAACTTCCCGCCACTGTGAAGCCGTCTCCGTGGACGTTCAGCCTAAGAGGCCTTTCGGGATGGCAGCAGAGGCAGGGATTGCTTTTCCCTTGTCTGAAGCCGAGGCCTTCGAGACCGTCTTTTATTGCATTTTCCCATTTCGAGGGCGCATCCCTCGTTCCATACAAGGATCGCTTCAGGAGTCCGACCATGTTGGGTCCAGCGATTGCTTCCGGAGGTAGCTCAACTAGAAGTCGACGTCGTGCAGGCGACCAAAAATGAGCTTTCTTCACGTCCAGAAACATGAGGCAAACTTCGGCTCATGACCCTACGGCCGAAAGCTTTCCCCTGTCGGGCACTCGCTTCGCTGTGGCGAGAGAGAACAGCGCACGAAGACTGCTTATCGGTGGCATAGCCGCGAAAAAGTCAGTCCAGGTATCTGGTCCTGACGGTCTTTCAGACCACACTGCCTCTTAAGTTCCTGCGCCACCAAACGCGAACGGAGTTTCTGGTGAAAGAATCTCGCTTGTTGATGTCCACCCAGCGAGTTCCAATCACCTTTTCTCCAGCAGGCCTTCCCACACGCCCATCTGCTGGATGACTGAGACCTCATCAGCGCGTGCCGCACTGTCACCGGAGGCTGGAAGTTCCTTCCCTGTGAGATCAAGATCATCGTAAACGGTCTCCTCAAGGATTTCTTCCACCAGCCCATCTTCCAGGTCACAGGTCGGTTGCTCGATGTCTTCAAGAGATCTGATGTAAGCCTCTCTCTCTTGAACGATGATATACTCCATCATCCCCTCGGCATCAATCGCCTTCCGCTTTTGAGCTTCAGGTCGATCCTCTGCAGGCCTCGTCGGCTGGTTCTTCGCCCTTGCGCTTGCCGCGATTGGCCGGAGCAGCTTCCGAAGCGGATGCTGCTGGCTTCTTCGAGTTGGCCCTGGGCACAGGCTCAGCCTTTGAGGGTTTTTCTGTGAGCTCTCTTCTGGTGCTTTGCTTGGCTGGCTCGGTTGGCTAGCTTCCGAACTCTGAGCCCCAGGTAGCCTCTAGGCTGGCTCATCTTTGTGGACTTCAGGTTTTACGCTGGCTTTCCCGCTCAAGCCTTGCTTGGCCTACTACCTCACCCTGCTGGTCTCCTGATGCCCTGGCATGGCGATCTCTTCCTTCACGGATGGCCGCACAAGCCTCACATCCACCAGTATACCAAAACCTTAAAACCTCTCAAGGTCGCTTGGCGTCTGTACATCCTGCGACAGACTGCCGAGCTATCGGCTGGCGCTGGTGGCGGTGGAAAGTCTTCAGGCTTCCTCACAGGCTCAATCGTGATAGGGTCTGGGAGCACATGCATCGGCATCTGCCGCAGAGGCACCGTCCGGTGTGCGTTGCCAGGGTGTCCAGGCTGAACTGCTTACCCTCTGGCTTCCTCCTGATGGATTGCACCACCACATTCCCAGGCGGAGCGCCGATGATGTTTTTTTTTTGGGTGGTGAGGCGCAGCCCCAAATCCCTTCCTACCATCTGGCATCCAACTTGCTCTTTGCTCGCCTGCGGTAGTCCACTACTTCTCCGAAGTTTGGCAGGGCAGCCTGCCACGTCCGGCCTTTCATTGGCTGAAACGGAGTCAGGCCCCAACTGTCCTCCTGGCAGAACAGCATGTGAAGCACGCCTGCATACTGAATCATCCAAGGGAAGACGACGGAGTCTTTCAATAGTTGCTGGTGGTACGTTGGCTTTTGAAGTGACTCCGTGAAGTCTGCACGTCTGCACTGAGGGTCGCTTCTATCGTGGGTCTTTCTAAACCCTATTGCGCACGTCCCCCCTCCGTCGTACCTGCAGATCCTACACTTCCCCTCCATTTTGGTGTTCGTCACTATGTCGCCGTTCTTGTCAAATCACGATCTTTGACGTGTTCGGGTCCCCCGCCCAGTGCGCAGGTACTTTGAGATCGGCCTGTTGACAAAGTCAAGGAAGCGGTTGGCGAAGAAGACTGCCCCCTACCCCGAGTGAGTCTGCAGGAAGAGGCTCTTGCAGTTTCCAGGTCCCCCACAAAGAGGTAGTGGTTCGGACTTGCCTTCCACGGATATTGCTCAAACCAAGACACCTGCGTTGGGCCTCTCAACCAACGTGGCGACGGCTCAGAGGAACGTCCACCCAATAATGGAGGGAGCTGGGAACAACCGGCAACCCCAGAGGGCCGTCCTCGAG